ACCCCTAGTAGGCCTATAACATTTGAGTAATGAATAAGCCAATACAAGTCTTCCTGATCACACACACACCTGTTTACTGTACAAACAAAATTTTACTGTTTGTATTTCTAATACAAACCTCTTTCTATGCTCAAGTACTGTCTATCACTGTCGTTTATCATTTCAGTGCATGACTGTATGGGAGTTAATGCACTGTAATATGTTTTATATTGAAAGTAAAATTTTCAAATTAAAATAGCAACACAATCGTTTTATAAAGTATGCGCACATGTGTTAAGGGCTACATTTTCGCTGGAGGAAACAGCTGTGGTCTGATGAGGGGTGAAGGGTAAAAACTTTAAAGTAGATGGGAAACCGATTGCTACCCCATGACATTTTGTAAATTGTATTTATGACAAAGAACTGCACAGATGAAGATATTATAACAATCTATCGATGAACACACACCTTTGTCCTCTGTTTCTTGTTAAAGCCCCCCTAAAAATGGCCTAGTGATGCCCATGTTCACTATTAGGGGAGTAACAATATTCAAACCGAACCAAAAAAAAACTAGAGATGCACCGATTGCAATTTCCTTGGCCGATTCCGATTTTTTTGTTAGTGTGATCTGCCGATACCGATTTTGGCCGATTGCGATTTTCTTTCTAAGAACTATAATTGACATCATATACAAACAAAAATCTACTTCTTCAATGCAAAGTTTTATTTTCATAAAAAAAACAAGTAAAAAGTCAGTAATAAAATAAGAACACAAAAAAAAAATTGCAAACAGCACAAATAAATGCAATAGAATATTGCTATGAAACAAAATATTTCAGGTTAAGTAAGTTTTTATTCAGGTAAGAAATACTACAGAAATTAAAGTAATCAAATGTAAATGTATTTTACATTTGATTACTTTAATTTCTGTAGTCTTCATTGTTAAAATTAAATACAGATTAATGCTTACCATTAAAGTTATAAAACGTATTCAGTCAAGAAGCAGAAAGCGATTTTCTTTGTCTTTTGTTCTTTGATTAACATGACAGACAGCAGTAGGAATACTGGACTGCGGTTCCTTTAAGAGTTTATCCATGGACCCAATATAGGGCCTGTTTACACCTGGTCGTTTCATGTGTTTTTGCTGATCGGATATCTATCTGATTTGTTAAAACGTTTCCATTTACACTTGGCCACATAAATGTCGTCGCAAAACGGATATAAATCCGATCTTTAATTCCCGCGCTATATTTAAATTGAACGGAGTTCACATCAACGAAATCAAAAGATAAGCGCTGCATTTTATTAATTATCAGCTCATTTCAAGATCAAAGACAGCAATAGGAGAGCGCGTGGCATCAGCACTGGAAAGACAAGTTTGTCTTACTTTTAATGAAGATGATTATGTGTTTACCGTCTGTGTCTTACTTTAAGTTTCTTTTTAGGCAGTTTGTGCGTCGGCTTGCTGAAGAGATACTCAGCTACTCATCTGCAGCGATGCATGTGTTAAAAAACATCACGTAAAATACCACATACAAAGTTTAAACTTACCACTGAGAAACGTCCTGATCAAGTCGTGCTTGCAATGGAGTTCTCGGTTGAGCGACTGTATCGTTATCATCCTCGGACTCCGGCTCGAATTGATAAGGTAATATCCATGCCATTTTTGTAAGCTTATAGCATCTTTGTTTACAAGTAAATGCCTCCGGGAATTTCGTTTCCGACACACATTGTATACGGAAAGACCAATCACAACAGACTTGGCCAGCTGACCAATCAGAGTAGAGTAGACTTATGGAAGGGAGGAGTTTACAGACCCTAAGCCCAGAACTGCTTTGAACGAATCGTTTCGAAATCATTGAAAAATTATTTTATTTTCTAATATTACATGTATATTCTGAGAAAACGACAATGTTTTCTGATCCTAGATACATTTAAACCTGTTGTAGGGGACTCCAACACAATATTAGGACACTTTAAAATACCATATGACCTGCTCTTTAAGTGAACGTAAGCAGTCGAAAAAGACAACGCATGTATCAGTGTACTGGATCTGTGAATTATGTCTTAAAGGAACAGCAGTCTATTCCTGCTATCTGTGTTTTTAATGTTAAACAACAAAAGAAAAGGAAATCACTCACTTTTCTTGATTGAATAGCTTTTGTAACTTCATCAAGGACTGGTCTTTAATTTAAACAATGAAATATGCAAAGTTGTATTAGCTACATTTGTTTACTTTTAAATGTATGTGCCTGAAAATTACTGTTTAACACCTGAAAACACTGTTTATTTTATTTGTATCTTTGCTCTATTGTATTTATTTGTACTGTTGCGTTTAGTTTGATTTGTTATTATTGTCTTTATTTTTATTTGAACATAGTCCTAAAGGGACTTTGACCGTACCGAACCGTGACCCTAAAGCCTTGAACCGAACCATAAGCAATCTGAACCATTACACCCCTACTATTAGTGGTTCAATGGATCACAAATCTCACGATTCGGATCACATTATGGTTTTTGACCCACGGATCGGATCATTTTTCGGATCAGCAAGAAAAGAAAAATATTTCAATCTAACTTGCTTTCCATTTATTACTTAAAACGAAGTACTTCTTTGATACCACAGCAAATACTACTAGATTAACTGAGAAAGTTTAAACATGATTAAAGACAAGAGAACAGCCAGTAAAAATAAGAACAAATACACAAATTACAAGCATAGATAAATACAACAGAATATGTTACAAATAAAATAAGGTTGGTAGTATTCAAATACAGAAATTTAATAATTAGGGAAAATAACACTGCATAGTGTTCACTGTATAAATTAAATATAGATTTTTATCATAGCTGTTTTGTTGTTTGATGATCATTAATGACAGCAGCAGTATTTATAGGCCGCTGTCCATTTAAGACCTGATGCACGGATCCGATATAATGATACACTTCACATCCGATTTCTTTCTCAGCTGTTTTCATTCACTTGAGATATTCAGTAACTGACTGCGTTTACCTGAATGATTGTCGAGATGGGTATTTTGCCCATTTTATGTGTATGTGTATGTGTATGTGTCTGTTCAGAGGATTCAGAAGAGGATTCAGTTCAGTGTTCGCGCGCCATTTGAAACGCGTGTGTGTGCTTCATGTGTGTGCGGCTGTGTGTGTAGAGAACAGCGCGCGAGTAACGAATCGAGTTCCCTTTCGCCTTTTCTCTCTGGAATTATTTAAAATCCGCTTGCTTGTGTAAATATGAACAAATGATAAACTTATACTCTATTATGGTTAAATTTTGCAATTAATCCGCGGATCACATGCGTGCCGAACCGTGGGGCTTGGTCCGTACGGATCACGGATCAACTACGATCCGTTTAACCACTACCTACTATTATATATTAACTAGGGCTGTGCAAAAAATCAAATGCAATTTTAATGTGCATCTCATCAGTAAAGCCGCTTATGGTGATTAGTAGTAAATCTACAGCATGTGCGTTCAGATGGAGTGGCATTTACTACACAGAGCCGTAGTCCACGGACAAGCTACAAAAAAATCGCGTTCAAAAATCGCAGGCGATTTATTGCCCAGCCCTAATATTAACATTTACTGTATATGTTTATAGTCACAACTAACATTTTATAAAGCTTATTGGTGACTTAAAGCATATTATCATCCAGCATCACTGAAAATAGGTTAATATCGCGAGCTGACCTGCAATAGAGCAACAACCAGGTGGTCACCCTATGAGAATATGGAGTTCACAATCGAGGAAGAAAAAAACATCAATTTCGTTCAGAGGTCAAAACTGAAAAGAATATGCAATTTGGTGCAGATACTCCAATTTATTTGGACAAAAAGTAAGAATAAATTCTAAATCATTGAAATTTTTACTGTATATTAGGCTATAAATAAAATGGTAAACATCATCTGTCACTCAATATGTCCCAATAATATTTTAGTAAGATGATATCTAAATGCTTAGTTTAAAACTCTGTAGTTTCAATTGTGTGGGGCAAAACATAATGTTAATAATGAAATAACTTTTTTCAAAAGTCTGTTGTATCATATTTGACACACACATGCTAACATGACCATTTTGCAAAAAAATTATGTATGAATAATCAAGTAGCCCAAGTTGCTTCAGTCCAGTAAATGTTCATCTTGAAATATTAATAACAATATTAATTTAGTTCCTATGTTTACTTAATAAAAAGGCTTTTTACTTGCTAAAATAGTATGAACTATCAGTCGGGGTCAGAAGGCATGTAGTAGTTAGTGTATAACAGTTTTTTAAGCAAGTTTTTTTTTCATGCTGACAATTTAGAGGCCTTACAAATTCATTCATCAAATATGATACAGTAGGCTTTACAAAGTTAAGATGCATGCACTGGCAGGAAAAAAGACCGGCCTGAGAGCACCGTTTCTCATTTCACATGCGAAGACAGTGTTTACATTAAAGTCAAAGGCACAACAGTAAAAACAGCAACAGGTTTTGGCACAAATACATTTTAAGTGGGCGCCTGACTCATGAGCTCGGAGTAAAAGAACTTCTTTGAAGGAATTCCTAATCTAGTCAGTTCAAGTTAAGGCGATTAAAATGACAAAGTTGGAAGTAAAAACTTCTCATATTTATTAAAAGAGCCAAACACATCTCTAGCCACCACCAGAGATGTCTAGTTTCACTGTACTTTTCTCTCAGGATTATGTAATAAGAAAACGGTCTCAAACAGCAATGAACAATGGAGAGCATTCTCTCTGTCATACTGGAGTATCAACGTGACTCAGTGGGCAAGTTTCTGTCAGAGCACAGGCTGAAAACTGATGCCTAGGATTCAACCTTGAGCTTCAATAAAGGTCACCTTTTAATTTGTGAAGTGTTTTTTTTTAGTTGCAACCAAACAAGATTGCAACAACCAAAACAGATTGTATCACAACAAGTATAACTGGCAAGAACACTGAAACTGACCAAACAGATCGGTTTATGAAGACAATACACATGTACACTTAAATGTATTAGTCAACTCACCGGCAAATCAACACTGACATCTGTGCCATCTAACAAAGACACTCGGCAGGTGATGATGGACTTTGCATCTCCAGCAGCAGGGATGTGTGTTGTGGCTCGCTGGGCTTCCCGGAGTCGAGCTTTATCAGCATGTTTGCGGATGGACCGCCGGCCCAAAGTCCGGCGAAGGAAGCTCAGCATGTTCAGGAAGATTCGTTAGTCAAGTCTGAAAGAAAGACCATCTCAGTTTCAAATTACAACTCGCTATAGTTCTTAACTCTAACCACAGTTGAACTGTGGAATCTATAATAAGACCATTAACTCAGATTGTATGTATATGTATGTATTGTGCTGCATGTATAGCAACTCTTATTTAACTGAATCATCTGTAATAAGACCACAGTAACAAGGAAAACCACCACTGTTACGTCAATACAGCTATAATTTCCATAAAACAAACTGTGGCATTTATGAAAAAATAAAGGTGTAAGATATTTAGAGACTCTGAATACAACTGCAACTAACTCAAATTAAGCTGTTACCTTCACTAACTATAGTACTACTGTGGTAAATATACATTATAGACAGTGGTCTGTTGTTTCCTTTTATTACAAGTTATTAATTCCTCCGTCTTCAAATTAAACCAGCAGCTCACTAACACCAACGCACCTTTTAAGGAATGTTTTTTTTAAATATCAAAATCATTAAGAGTGTCTCACGATCACGCGCTGCCCGACTGAACTCCTCTGACACCTGTGCGCAGAATTTACATTGAACGGCCTAAAAGCGCTGTATTTATTTAATAATACAAACACTAGAGCTTACAATACAGCTATAGTGATTAATCAAAAGATATATATTGCGCCCAGCTCTGCGATGACCGCACTTGAGACGCTCGCGCGCTAGCGGCGCCAATCCACTTGTTGATCCTCAGGCAGACCACAGACAAAAGCGATACTTACTGCAGACTGATATATATTCCGCCAATGAAAGAGTCCTCTAGCATCGGCCTTTATCAATAAACAGCTTTGTGTTTTGAAATATCCATCTTCTACGGCGCAGTGTGGCTCAGCCACATTGTTTGTTTGGAGGTAAGCGTAACTGATATTCGCCCCTGTCCGAAAGATTGCGGGGTGGCTGTTCTCCCTCAGGAAATGACGTCACGCAAATCCCTAAAAGTGGATTTACATTTAAAGGGCCGGTGTGGAGTGAAAATGGACTCGACCCTTTTAACACTCGGCTGCATTATTACAATATTATTCAACTTACATTTTTATTATCTTTCGGTAAACTATAATCAGCTATTGTGTGAGTGTGACATGTCAGAAAAAGTGTTAATCAGTTAAGCAGCACATCCTAATCCAGTTTCAGACACAAAAATTGACTGACAGAAATGAAAACATTCATGAGAACTATTGGAACTTTGTGTACTAAAACTGCTAGGTCTATCCCCCATACTTTACTATAGTACAGTAACCAGATGGTAATACTATGCTACTGATTTCCAAATTAATGTACTATGGTATTTACATTACTAATAATACTATATATATATATATATATATATATATATATATATATATATATACACATTAACTTAAATGATTTTAGCAAATGGCTGCAATATAACAAAGAGTGAAAAATTTAAGGGGGTCTGAATACTTTCCGTACCCACTGTATATATATACACACACATACCATCAATTGCCTAGTCGTTTTATCTTTTTATTTGAAGCATCGGTTAGATTGCAAATAATATAATTTCATAAAATGGATTCAAATGATACAGTCTGAAGATATAATTCAAATAAAAAACGAATTATAACTTGTTTTTGTAAAGAAAACGCATGTAAACACACCTACACAAGGCCAAATAGATTTAAATGTGGCATATAAAAAATATGAAAAACTTCTAAAAAATATAAAGGCTTGGGTAAATCTAAACTACTTGCTCATCTGGGCCAGCAAAAGATCCTTATTTTCTAGATCTTATTTTCAGCCCTCAAAACGTCAGGTGCTTAAAGGTGCTCTGTATTTGTTCATTTCTTTTTTCCCCCAACAGCACTACCCACTGGTTTACCGAGTGCTTGAAACTGCTGCAGCTTCAGAAACTTTCCTCCCTGCCAATATCTTCAAAGAAGGAATTCAAATGTACAATGTAATTAAAAACAATATATATCATATACAAAAACAACCCAGATCACACACCTTACTTTATTTTAAAGATTTTCTTTTTAATATACAACATTGTATGTACACTTTATAATATTTTCATAAAAATGGACAAGTGGCACAACTTGACCTTCCTATTTTTTGCAGCAAATAAAACATTAACACCAGTCTACAATTGTACATCTTCGTTGAAAAAGTGCTGTCCCACAAGGCAGGAGGCATGTAGTTTCTCCCATTTCCATGCCATATTCCTGTTATAAATGTCTTTTGGTAAAACCTGTAACCTGTTGAGCATAGAATGGAATTATTTGATCCTAAAACCAAGGTTCTCCAGCAACTATGACCACAAAGAAACATCATATGATTGACTGTAAAAGTAGACAGTAACTTACAAAGAGTACAGGCATGGATTCAACTCGGCATTCAACTAGAGATGACCTGTGAAACTGGGCAATGGGTCAAAAATTTAATTTGAGAGTTTAACAATGTTAATATGATGGCTTCTAAACAAAGACTGCTCATAAAACTAGGGCTCAATTAAATAAACTAAAAATCAGACAGCCTGAACCAGACACCAGCTCTAATGTGTTGAACCAGGCCTAGATCAACCCTAAACATGTGATTTGGGCTCTCACATTCACACTAACAGTACTATAAAACACACTTGCACATACAGACATCAGAAACATACAGTACTAACACAACACACATACTGGACACACTCTTAGCTTGCGGGATAACTTGCGGGTGCAGTCTGCTACAACAAATAAACTGGTCAACCATAAACAAACTCCAATTTGATCCTCCAACACGGTACTGCATTTGACACACTATGGTGTGTGACATTTAGATTTAATGACAACACAAAAAGCACTTTTAATCGAATATCTGATTTTAAATAGTAAGGACGGAGTTTATTCTTTCAGGGAATGTTTGCCTCTGGGCAGATCAAATTTCTAAATGACAGTCTTCTTATAATACAACACCAGAGGAGTGTATAAAAATAATCATCAATCTAATTTTAAAGGAATCTGCTATATGTTCATTTCTGTGGTTTGGTGGCCCTGAATTTATTATTCTACAGTCTCACTGGTTCTTGTATTTCATAACTGTGTCAAGTTGAGGAAATAATACCTGGGAGGAATATGTTTTGTAATTAAAGTTGAATTTCATTTTTTTCCTCACACAAAGCTATTGTTTGATTTCAGAAGATTTGGAATATAGTGAATATTATGGTATTTTTTTATTTGTAGGCTTTCACTGTACTGTATGGAAAAGAGCAGCACCAACAAACATCTTTTGCAATCCACCTACGAAAGAGCATCATATGGGTTCGGAAAGACACATGGGTGAGTAAAAAAAATAAATTTTTGTATTCTTCTGCTTGAGAGACCAAACTGATATCTTGCATCACAGCTGTACTGCAAAGTGCTTCAAAGTCCAGCATTTCAGTTTGACAGGAAAAATAAATACAAATGATTTTCAATCTGCGCCAAAAAAGGAGAACGAAGCAAACAGGAAAAATTATCATTGTCGTAAGAAAAACGTTTTGTAAGTAGTTTCTTATGTTGAATGATTAGGGCTCAATATTGAAACTAAAACAATAAATATTTCTAATAAAAATACAAATGTTCATCTGCAGCACAGGCCTGGATGTGAATTGATTTGTGGGTGTTGTTTGTCTCCAAATAAGAGGTGACCACATATAAAAACACTCATTCATTTACGGGCCTGCCCTTACACACATATGGCACCAGCAATCTCCACTATATTCATTATTAACATACATATCTGTTAAAACCCTGAACACTCAAAGTCCCAACAAGTACCTAATTCACCTTTGTTAGTTTTTTCTCTCCTCGTTGAAGCCTGGCATATAGTCTCTTGCCATCGTAAAGTGCAGCAGTGCTTGGTTTATGTCCTGTGTTCCTGGCTCGAGATACTTCTCCATCGCTCTGACACGGAGCTGTGATATCACCATGTGAAGAAGTGAATTTCAGCATAATTTTCGGGAAAAGCTGGCATTGCATTAGTTGGATTCGTACAGCGTGGACACGAGCGGTTTCACCAGGCCCTCCTCATAAACCTTCAGTATGGCCTCACACACAAACTTGAACTGGCTCTGAGAAGACAGAACAGAGGGGAAGTCATGGTGAATGGAAGACGTGTCAGTCTATCATGCAAAAGCAGCCAAACGTGACTGCAGAATGAGAAACTGGGATGAGAACATAATTCATAGTGTCTGTGAGTGAGAGAAAGAGCCGGGAGAATGCACATAAAACCACCATGGAACAAACCAAAATACATTTTTGCATGTTAAGAAGCAGATAATAAGATGTGGACAGGAAGAAATTAAAGTAAAAAAAGATCAGGTCCATCCTTCAAAATCATTCACCAAGTGAAGCCAGAGAAGAAACAGCAGATCTCTCCTATACATGTTCAAAAAAAAAAAAAAAGTATCTTATGCATATCAAGGCTGCAGTTATTTGATCAAAAAATGTAACAATAATATTGTTATACATTACAATTTAAAATATAATTTTTTTTATATTTTCATATATTTAAAAAAGTAATTTATTCCTGTGATGGTAAAGTTGAATTTTCAGCAGCCATTACTCCAGTCTTCATTGTAACATGATTCATCAGAAATCATTCTAATATGCTGATTTAGTGCTTAAAAACATTTTACACATTATTATCAATGTTGAAAACAGATGTGCTGCTTAATATTTTTGTGGAAATCGTGATTTTTAAAAAAGCATAAATTCTTTGTTTCAAACTGGACTTGGGTCAATTCCCTGCTTTCCCCACTCTTAAAGCAACAAACACAAAATGACACCATTATAATGGGATCATGACAAATGAAACAAACAAGATCCTGAGTTCAAAATTAACATTTGCCAAGTGCCTAATGCAAGTCCAAAGTATTCATTTGAAACAGATTTTTTTAAATAATAAAATGTATTTTCTGTCAGTTTGATCACTTAAATGCATCCTTGCTGAATAAAAGTATTAATTTCTTTCAAAAACAATTTACTGACCACAAACATTTGAATGGTAGTGGATGACCAATAGAAAAAGTGATGTCTTCGTAACACCACTAATGAAAAGAACAGAGAGGGCATGTAGTGCACAAGTGTTTTCACTGAGCATCAGCCCTTTCTCCTTCCTGCTGTCTAATTAGTTATGTCTCATGGTCAGCAGCCTCTGGGCAGACAGGCCCCATTAAAGTACAACAGATCATACTGGAATCACAGCTGCATCATTGTCTCAGGCTCTGGGAGTCCCAGCCTAGACAAGACCCCCTGCTACAGCAACTCTCCTTCTTCTATATATGTGGAGCTGCTGCATTTTACATGTGAGTGAAAATGTCACAAATACATTTTTTGTTGTTTATTTAATAACATGCCATCATTAGCTGTGTAGTATTCCGCCTCTTCCCAACAACTGACGGCAGAAAGCCAAAAACAAACCCCCAATAGTTGACTGACGGAGGCAATGACAGGAAGAAAGAAGGTGGGCAGGACTTACAGGAGTCTGAATCATCATGGCCCTCTGATCCCGCATAGTTCTCACAATTTCTAATGGATACACCGGCTGGCCGCACTCCATCAGACACATTGCCGTCTCCATGGTGATGAGCACTCCCGTCCGGCCAATCCCAGCGCTGGGATATGGAAGAGGGCGAGGGATAAAAAGGGGAAATGGTAAGCCAACACTTGATTACACTCTAATTCACTTTGGATAACTACATTTAGAAACTACTTTGTGATATAGACATATGAATGACCTGCAATGGACCACAACAGGCTCGTCCTTCCCAGCTCGTTTACTTCGGACCAGAGCAACGAAATCCAAGAAGTCCGTTGAGTCATCTGGTACACCATGATCAGGCCATGCCAGGTACTGGATTTGGGTAAATTCCCTGCTTTCCCCACTCTAGAAGTACACACAACAATGCAACA